GGAGGAGGAGAGCGAGGAGGATCCTCCTCCTCAACTGAGGAGGAAAAGTTTTTTTTGCTCAAAGGGCTATTTTTATCACAAAAATATCATTTTTAGCTAAAAACATTTTCCTCCTCAGTTGAGGAGGAGGATCCTCCTCGCTCTCCTCCTCCTCCTCATTTTCCTCCTCACCATTCCTCCTCCTCAGAGAAACAATCCCTGGTATGCCCATAAAAAGAAGAATTTTCTCCTAAAAATAAATCCTTTTCACTCCGACACTAATTATTATATGAACCTATGAAATTGAATCATTAAAATAAATGTATCACCACTTGTGAGAAAAATGTTCAATCACTCTGAGTGAATGTTATACCGAGTCATTTATTTATAGATAACTTAGAAATGGATTTTACACCGATATTTATATCGATGAAACGAATCAGAACCTGAATAGAAAACAATAATAAAAGAAAACACAGAAAACAACACTATTTTTTGAATTCTCATTTCGTAGTCAGTTTTGAATTGGAACACAACCTCTCCAAAGAGAAATACACCAATCATCAAATGCCGAATATTTATCGGTAGAGAACTTCGCTGTGCACCAAAAAAAAAAGATAATATCAAATCAAATCGATCATATCGTTGAATTACTCAGTAATTATTACCTATTAAGTAGAGAATAATCATGACATGAAACAATCAATGAAAATCAGACAGACGATAAACATTCACACATTCATTTCAGTTGTAGTTTCTGTTATATATTTCTTATTTGGTGGTCGAACTATATGAATCTGTTCAAATCCTTCTAAAACAATAATCAAAAGACTTGAACTGAATTGAATAAACTCTACTATATATAATGTGTGTGCGATAGAAATGAAACACTACACATTTTATAAAATCAAATACACTGTAAAATGTTGTAGCGGTGGAGAGAATTCGGCAAAAGTTTTCTATAATTAATCGAATTAATGGAATCGTTCGCAACAAGTGTGTCACTTTTGGTTGAAAATCAATAGTTTCCACATACGTACTTGGAATATTAATTTTTAATGTAATATGATTGATGAAGAGCATTGAACTGAACCGTATTATCATCATATTGTTAATAATAACTGAAAATGAATGAGACATTTCAAGGGGCAAATTGTCAAGAATACCGAGGAATATTAAAATATTACCGAAAGTCGATACTAAGAAATATCGGGAAGTACCGAAAGTACCAAAAAGAGCACCGAAAAACATAAAATGCCAGAAAAATGAAAGAAACGAAATGATGAGAGCGTTTGTATGTATCAATGTTTTTTTTTTTGTACTTTCGGTACTTCCCAGGATTTCTTCGGTACTCACAGAAAAAAACGGATATTTTAAATCCAGATTTCGGTTTAAATCACAGCGGAATGATTTCTGGGTTCGTTGGTATTTTGGTACTAATTTTCCCCTTGGACAATTCATTACCTACGTAGTATTGATTTCTACCTAAAATAACACACTTTTTATTCGTGAACCAACTTATTACCATAGATTTAACAAACAAAAACACACATAATACTATTACTTCTATCTTGATATATTTAAAAAAAGAAAACCAATGACATATTTAACCACACAGAGAAGACAAAAACAATAAAGACATTTATTAACAATACCACACACTCACAAGAATATAAACACAAACAAAATATTCGAATAAGGAATATTTAACACGTATTTATCTTATGTATCGATTGATTGATATATATTCACATTGATTGCGATTCATATATAATAGGCAGATGTTGTCTGAGAACATGAGTTTATTTCAAACCAATAATAAAAAAAGTAAAACCTTTTATGGCACTTGAATTAAATTATTTGCATGGCATTTTCACTTCAACCACACTTTCTTTTTATTTATTCATAGACATTTTTTTACAGTATAATCATTTTCAGATATCCAGTTTGGTAAGATAAAATAATAACCATTTTTTTGTGTGAAACAAAATCTTTGCAGTTTTCGAGCGATGCGCAGATAAATGCTTAAAATAACAACGAAAGCCACGCCAACATTAATATAATGCTTCCAATCGAGCAAAAATAGACGTATCCATTAAAATTGATTAAGGCACAAAAATAGCATCCCAAACAATATACGCCCATTCCCATCAAAAATATTGATCCTGTCTACGGTATGAAAAGAATTACGACATTTTATTTTGACTGAGCAAAAACCATCATTTTTCATGTACTTACCAAATGTCCCCGTCGCGTAAGTGGTATGGTGAGCAAAACTAATGTATGAATATAATTCATTTGATTAGCTAATTGAATGTAGTGCCTATCGTAATTCGGTAGTTTGAAATTTTCGATGTAGGTAGTAAAAATGATGGAAAGTGCACCGCTCAAACCCGCCCACCGATGGAAAATCAAAGTTCTACCAATTTGTTGCCATAGCACAATATATTGGGGCTGTAATTGAATCATCTCTGACATTTCAGCATCAATCCTTTCACCCAATTTATTGCTCGAAAAAGATATGACGGAATAATAAATCCAAAAATAAAATAAAGCCAAGCTTGTTCAATGAAGTGAATAATTTGATGGCAGACTGTAGACTGATTTAAGGCAAAATTTTTATTTTCGAACTTTTACGTCTATATGAAATACAACTGGAGATAAATCGCACAATCAAATAAATGTGAAGCAATGACATGGAGAAAAACAGTAACGAATGCATTTACAAAATGGAAATGTTTTTGTTATGAATTTACGAAATCGCAATCTATGACTTCCCAGGTCAAATGGAATCAAAACGTTATATCTCGAAAATATTTTTCGCCTTTTGAAATTGTGGACGTTGACTCTTTTGAAATGAATATATAAATGTTTGTGGAAGTCACTTTTGTTTGATGGATTTTCATGACTGATAATAACATTCAGTTCGTTCACTTGCGAAAATTTAATTACTCGCCAGTGATTCATTATGATGATTACAGAGAAAACAAGCGAGCCTAATTGTCCATAGAATTCTTGGAATCGTAACATAAATATAGTTAACTTTTCCTTTTCCAACGAAAAACCCACGTTAATTCGTGCGTAACGCAGCGTTGCGATAAATAGAGTGAGTATCGAATTTTCACTCAACATTTCAAACGTAACGATTTTATGCACATGATTTTTTTGTGATTGCTTAATCGGTGATTTTTAAAGGAAATCTTTCTTTCTCGTATTAAGTTTTAGTTTGGGTCTCACATTTTTCATGCCACAAAATTAACATTGACTTTGAAATTTTAAATATCGAAATGTAAAAACTTTCATATCTTTATCCGTTTCATATTCGAATATGAGTGAAATAGGAGCTTTGAGTCTACACTCACAACGGTGGATTGAGTGAAATGCTCAATGTTCGAATGTTTACACTTGACTGAATGGAAGATGGGTGGAAAATTGTGTTCAATGTAAAAGTGAAAAGCAAGTTGTTGAATACGGACGCATAACGTAGCGTATGCGTTTTAAGGAAACGAAAAATTTCGATACAATTCATTCATAAAAGTGATTGTGTGTGTGTTTTTTTCGTTTTTTTTTCTTCTCCACAATCCACTGGGGGTTTTCTTGATTCAATAAATTTCTTCGTCGATTACTCCTTGAGTGGTTCAAAGATTGATAGAATTTTCAAAAACATCCACATTGAGTTGACCTTTGAAAAGTAGAAACGCATTTCACAAGTGTAGCAATTTTTTTTTATTGCACTGTAAAAGTCGAAAGGATGGGGAAATTTTTTCAAACTGTTGATTCAATGGCATGTCTGAAATCTTTGCTCATGGTATTTAATATGGCATTTTGGGTGAGTGTATAATCCGTTGAAATTTTTCTTTAATTTTCTTTTCCATTAAAACAACGCATTTAAGAAATTGAAATAAAACGAAAGCATTTGATAGCAGTGATAATGTTGGTATGTGGAAAAGTGGTTCTAAGCTGCATTAAATACAAGTGTGTATCACATTCCCAGCATTTTATTAGCGTTGTTTCACAACAGTATCGATTTTTTCGCGTCTGACGTCTATCCACTGAACGCAACTGTATTACAATTTGCATTTTGTTCTCGTTCTCTCTCTCTCTCTCTCTCTCTCTCTCTCTCTCTTGTAAGCATTGTTATGCTCGGTTATTAAAATTTGTTACTGTTTTTTTTTGTCACAGGCATCAGGCTTGGCGATTTTTTGTGCTGGCATTTGGATGCAAGTTGAATTACATAAATATTTGGAATTAAATGTGGAATATTCAAACGTGACTCCGTACATTTTGGTCGGAACGGGTGCATTCATTCTACTTGTATCGAGTTTGGCTTTTGCGTGCACAGTTACTGTGAAAGGGAATCCATCACTTTTATACATTGTAAGTGATGTTTATGTGTCACACACCCAAGGTGTTATTTTTACTTTTTATACCAAACCTCTGATTTTCGTGTTTCAATTGAATTTTAGTTCGGCGGATTTTTGGCATTCATTTTATTCATTGAACTCTGTATTGCTGCCTCCATATATGCGTACAAAGATCGTTTAGCCGATGGTTTTGACAAAGGCTTGACAAATAGTATGCTTTCCAACAGCGTCGACGATCCACAACGTACCATCGATTTTAATTGGATGCAACGCAATGTAAATATTTTATCATTTCGTATCATATAAAATGCATGTCGTGAAAGTCCAAGTCGCTTCTTCACACTTCATGCAAACAATTTTCATGTGAGAAAAAAACAAAACAATAATTATTTATATGTCGCTTTTAGCTCAAGTGCTGCGGAAATCACGGCTATGATGACTGGAATAGTTTATTGCCAAGAGCGATGCCCATTCCGAAATCATGCTGTAAGAAACGAAACTGTGATGCCCAAGATGAAACTCAAATTTACACTGAGGTAATTAATTTTTTTCACACCGTCATTTTTCCTGGTTTTATTTAACTTTTCCGCATACCTATTTTTTAACGTTTTTCCCAAAATTATTAAAGTTTGTCAAAAAATGAACCTAATCCTCGTTGACTGTTTCAGGGATGCTATGACAAAGTGAGTGAATTGATTGAAAGCAATATGAGATGCATACTTGCCGCTGCTTTACTTGTATCGCTATTCCCAATTGTTGGAATCTTACTAACATGCAGCATGGCTGGAAATATCACCAAAACCAAATACGAACAAATGGCTTAAAAGCATTTCCTATTTTGCATTCGCTGCAGTGCCCATTTATTTATTTTGTTTGTCTTCAAACATAAAAGAAAATCTTGATGTGCATTTTTCTCACTATAGTTTCTTCTATAGAAAAACTAATCTTAATGTTACCTTTTTACATATTATATATAATATTTTATTTGCTTTTATAAATTTTATTGGAACAAGAAAATGTCTTTATTATAAATGTATGTAGATCGTAACAATCAAATCTCAAGTGTCTACGGTTTAATTAAAATCTTGTTGAAGTTTTTTTAAGTTCTATAGTATGTTGCACCAATCATCCTAATATTTCGAGCACCAAAAACACACATTCTTCAACTTGTGAATGTGATTTGAAAGAAATTGCCATTATATTGACGCCAATATTTTTTTAAGATTGAAAAAAAAGTTCAAATCGTTTGAAAAACAACATATTGCTTATTAAGAGCACCGTCCTGCAAAATGGAAATCAAACTTGGTCCAAAAATTATTATTATATCAAAGTCATATCGTATTTTGAGAAATAAAAAAGAAACATTTATCACAAACTCCAAAATCGATGCATTTTTAATTTTTCAACCCTTTTTACCATAGTTTTGGAAGCAAAGGTCGCAAAAGAAGAAATACTACGGGTAGTGGAGAAAAAGTGACTGACTAACTGACTAACTGACTAGCTGCAATCAACTAAAAATGAATTTTGTTAACTTGAACCGTCTGTCCAGTAGACTTTAGTTGTCTATTTTTCTGATTTTAACACAGAACAGACGAATAATTTGGGACGTATGGCGATAGCCAACTGTGATTGAAGTTGAATTTGAGTTATAATTTTCTCTCTCTACTGCAATAGACTGACAAATCAAATGATTTCAATCTCAGTTGGCTTAAGCCAAAAACGTCCCAAATTAGTTAAATAGTCAGTCAGTAATTTTGCACAAGGGTACCTGTTGCCGTCAAGGTTGTGTCAATGATACCGTGTGCGCGGAAACCATAAGAAACTTCCTCGCATTCTTTAACACCACACATGCGCGCTGGGGGGTTTTTCGGTTTAACCCCCCTCTGAGAATTTTTTTCTCAGATTTGCAATATAAATGTATAAACAATAGCAAAAATACACTGATTTTGAAGTCAAACTTGCAAAATTTCGGCTCGATCCGCTCGCCAACACACTTGTCACTTGTTTCTCTCATGCAACATTTTTATTTTAGTTTTCCATATAAATACTCCCTCCCCCCTCGAGACCAAAGTCAATTTGACCCCCCCTGATCAAAAAACCGTGCGCATGTGTGTTTAACACACATCTAAAAATTCCTATAAACCAAGATACATGTAGAAATCCGTCCATCGACACGACACGACTCGCGTTAGAGTGCTCACAATAAAACCAGACAATATAAATTTTCTTGATAAGATGTTTTATTCTATTTTGTCATTCTAGATGTGAAATTCATTTTTAGAATACAATGGCTTCTAAAATTTAATTGTTACAAAATTTCATAATTACAATCTATTTTTAAAAAAAATTACTTTTTTTTCTTTCCTTATATTCGATCTGCCGAAAAAATTGATAAAATTCCAAAAGTTAAAACCAAAAATAAAACAGTAGTAGATTCAACAGGCTTTTTCTTTACTTTAAGCATTATAATAAATTTCTGTGTGTAAATACAAATTTATCCGAAAATGAGCTTAGTTGCTATACATTTTTCATTCCTTAAAATTTTTCTTTTCATCAATCACACGCATTTCTTATCGAATTTCTTTAGAATAAATGTTTTCGCTTACAAAAATAGTAAAAATCTATTTTATTAATCACACACCGCACAGAATGGTTTTACATCAATGTAAAAAAGAGGAAGAGCTGGAAGTGTTGTAGTGACCATAGTCTCGAACACGAACAAAAAAAAATCAAAAGAATAATAAAATGGAAGAATTTCGTTGGATTACAGCATTATCATTGAGCTGTACACGAAAAAAATAATCACTCAAGTTTAAAAAAAGGGACCAACAAAAGGAACATATAATATAAAATTTGCGAATGTTCGAAGTGAGATATGTAAAAGAAGCCAAGGATATGAGAGTTAGATGATTTTTTTTGTTGTAAAGTTTTTAGCTGGCTTGATTCAAATAAAAATGATCTCTTCGATGCTTTAGTTACGGAAAAAAGAATATGGTGCTTTTTATTTTACTTAAATACCTAATTTTATAGTTACAATGTGCGTCATTTCGGATTCTTTCTTTTGTTTTCTTCAGATATGTGTTATTATGACGTAATAGCTAAAGTCTTAAACAAATAAATGTTGTTTTTTTTTTCTAAATCGAAAAATGAAATTTATGAAGAAAAAAATACGAATTATAGTGTTTTTCTGTTTCTCGTTGCACATATATATATATATATTATAGATATCGACACGCACTAGTTTCCGACACGCAAATATGTTTTTAAATAGATTAAATTGGCACATTTCACTGTAAACATTTTTTTTTTGTTTCTTCGTTTTTTTTGATTCTCTTCATTTTATCTGTTTAGATAACGGTAAATTCTCCGATTTTTTCTCTTAATATTTGGAATTTTAATTTGAAATAATATGTTTGCACAGGTTGTTTCTGATAATTCAAATCGATTTTGTTTTTGCAGAATTTTCTTTCAGATAGAATGTCACACGTGTTTTTTTAACTCATACCGAAAATTGGTTCATTTGTTTTTGAATTTTCAGTTATTTGGCACAATTTGATTAAAGTATTATATCTGCGTCTTCGTAAAATTTAATGCACGAAATATATTCGATATACCGTACCATCCGTGTTTCGATATAAAAAAACACACCCTCATCACATCTATACTCTAAATTGTCTCACTTTGAATATATGATTATAATCTTACAATGGAAATGATATTAAAGCTATATAGTGTGCATTTACAAAAGAAAGGTTTTTTTCATTTATATATTTGTTTTGCAGAAGAATTCGTTATTCGGAAGAAAATGTGTGTTTTCCACAATGATTTTATGCTAGATGTAATTTATATATGTAAAAGCTTCGTTTTTTCCTGGCTCTTTTTTTGCAACAAAAAAATAATAATATTTCGTTCTGTATGTAGAGATGAAGACGAATGTAAATATTTACAAAAATAGATAGCTAATTAAAGAATTTAACATACATTTCGTCTCTTTATATATGCATTTATAAATCTAATTTATTTAGACCTCAAATCATTAAAAACGAGTTCATTGTGCGTATTGCAAATGTTTGAAATCAAGCGATTATAGTCTTAGTCTAAAGGCTACACTCATAATTAATATGTAGGGAAGATCGACTTGTAGCGTATTCTTTGTCATCGCAAACAAGAAATAAATATAAGGTTTGTCTCGATTCAGCCGATTCAGCCGATGCAGCTGATGGGCCTTATTCCATTTTTCTTAGATCGGTGGCCATCGGACTTGAACGATCACTTTTCTCAGAGTTATGCGATGGATAGTCGTCCATTTGCTGTGATTGCGGTGAGTTTGGCTGAATCAAACGAATTGTTGTCAATCCATTTGAGTTTCGGATCAATCTGTCAATAGAACAAAAATCATAATATAATTAATATCACTTTCTAACCATTAAATTGAATTTGTTTTGGACTTGCATTTGTAAAAGTAGAACTTACGGATAACAGTCTGGATTTGATGTTCGACCACTGGTGCTCAAATCGGTTGGCTGGTCGTCCATGTCACTTTGAGATGATGAATGTGACTGGGGCGGTGAGCTTCGATCAGGTACGGTTGATGTGGTTAAATAATGAAAGGCACCATTCAATGCGTGTACACGTGGCGATGATGGAGGTGCTTGTTGATGTAACAACGATTGGATATTTAAATGTGCGCCCATTTGTGAATTTCCATTGCTATTGCCGTTTGTATGTTCATTTGTATTGTTGTTTAATGTTTTATTTGACGCGGTTGGTGCTGGTGGTGGTGGTTGTTGTCGTAACAACGAGATATTTTTTATTGATTTCAGTTCGGTTGGATTGCGCAAAAATCTGTATAAAAAAAAGTTGAAAAATATTTAGAGTTTCGTCCAAATTGTTTGTTATGAAAAGAATGTCCTAGAATGTAAAGATAACTTACTGGTAGCAGTGGCGTTCGCCTTGAACTTTTCGCAAAATATTGACACGGTAATAGTAACGGAGGGCTCGTGACATTTTATCGTAGTTCATTGATAGATGATTTTTTTGGATGCCCCAAAGTTTAGCCAAACCAGCTGGATCAACAATTTTAAAAACACCCGTTTCACGGCATTTCCATGCAATCAAACTGCTATAACGTTGTGCTGGATCATTCAACAATTGTTGCAAGAAATCCCATAGCAATCGTCCATCTAATGAAAAAAACAGAGAAATAAAAATTTGTTTCGATTTTGGGAATTTTTTTCAATTGAAATGTATGATTTTCGGTTTAAAAACACTTACTTGTATTTGGTTCTGGTGTGTCTGGGAAAAATTCACGTTTAACTGGGGCAAAATTGCATGGTGTTGTTGGTGCCGATGAGCTACCGCTGCTGCTCAACGCACTATTGCTACCGAAATTCTCTTGATGCATTGACCATGAGTTCACCACATTTGAGATTTGTTGCGAAAGTGTCAATGAAGCGGATGCCTCTTTGCACAATGGTGTCAATGGTGGACTGGATTGATGTTGTTCGACAGTGATTTGTGGTTTATCCGAATAGCTATCCTCATCTGAATCCGATTGATTACTGCTACCAGCACTGGTCGATGCATTCTGTTGAAAAGCTTGTGCTTGTTGTTGCAACAACACCTCTTGTTGCGGTGGACTACGTCCTTGTGAATCGACCGATGGTGCTGGGCTTAAGGTAACCGAATTTGATTGCATCAAATGTTGAATATGGGCCGGGTGAAATGGACTGTCTGGTGGTATTATTGACCAATTTGGTGTTGGCGGTTGGCTGTGTGGTGAAAATGGATGATATCGGCTGGTCGGTGTGATTGGGCTGCTTGGTAAATGTTTGTGCATCATTTGTGATTCTTTGATCAGCATTTGTAGTACATTGTGTAGAACATCGCCAGCTCCCGGAATTCGTTCGGCCAAATCGGTTTTTGTAAGCAGGCACAATGCTTTGCCATTCATTTGAAAGAGATCCATTTCGAATTTTGGCAAATCAAATTCACGTTCACAAAATTGCAGAAATATGGCAACATCGTCGCGATTCCAGACACGCGGATCGGATGGCAATTGCGGTGGCAATTGTGTTTTTAATTCGGCCAATGGGCTTGATGGGGCTGGATAACGCCACAATAAATCTTGTGCAAACATACCGATTGGCGGTGGGGCACCTAGTGGCGGCAATGGAATTGGTAATAACTTCATTATCTATTTGAAACGAAAAAAAAATCAAATTAGTAAAATTAAAAAAAAATATATATTTACAAAATATAGAAGAAAAAAACTTAAATAAAAATAAAAACAATTGATTGTTCTGCGATGCATGCAAACAATATCCGGTCGAACGAGTTTTAACGGAAATTTTGGTTTTTCATACACGATGATTCCTTCTATGTAGCGCACACGTTACACATAGTGACTGCGATTTCAAATCGTCGATTTAAATTCGTGTTCCCATTCAAAATATGAGCTTGTTCATTAGGCGTTACGGGGGATGGACAAAGATTGTTAACTAATCCGAGCCGTGATTTGCTTTGCCTCTGCAAATATTCACGAATGCAGAAATTCCAAAGCGAATAAAGCGTGTGACAAACAATAACTCGTTTTAAATTGGAATACAAAATTACAGCGCGCGATGAGAATGCTATTACGAAATTCACAAAGTCGAAAACAGATAAAATGCAATCGTTTTCGTACAATTTTTCGAGTCCCATGCACACCGATTGAGAAATGAATGCCGATTCTGTTTTCAACTCGATATGCTCGTTTGCCATTTAATTTGACTTTTGGTATATATTTTTCAGTTTTTATTATTACACAAGCATTAACCGTGCTGCAGAGTGTATGAATCGGTGTTGCGAGAGAGAAACAGGAAAAGACACTCAAAAACTTGAACTACTTAAATTGTACCATTTATCTGGGTGATTTCCTTTTGTCTTTTGAATGGTGCAAAACAGTAACAGAGAGAAAAAGAAGAAAAAAATACGCTACACAATCACTCGATTAAAATGGTGCGAATGCAGTGAAGTAAGACAAACAGTGAGAAGATTCAGTGCAAATCACCAAATCTCTTGTTCGCTCAATCACTCTCTCTCCCGCTTTTGCACACTCACTTGTGAGTCAAACTCTTCGTGTTGCTTCTTCTTTTTCACTTTATTTCAACAAAAATCACAACAAAATAATATTATGTGAGCGTATTGCAGACACAGTCGGAACTTTCAGCAACCGATTACGTATTCGATATTCGAAATATATAGCGCGAGCGATACAGAGAGAAGCAAAAGAAAAAAATACACCGTTACCATAACATGCTACACACCTTACATAATCGATTTCGATTACTTTTATTTCTTTTATAAGCGCGATCGCTGTACGAATGAATGTGTGATACAGCAAAGAAAGCCGTACGCGGAATGTGAGCTTAGCACATAAAATTCGCAGCGAAAAGAGAGTGAGAGACGAATTGATCCAGCAAGAGTCTTTTTTTATGTATTCATTCTTCTTACATATATTTGATTATTGTGATTACTTTTGTTCAGTGATTTTGCAGTTGGTCTAGTCTCATTGATTCATAAATGGGCGGCTTTGGCGTTTTTTTTCTCTTTCAATTTTCATCGTTTATACACCTGTTTTATGTGCGAGTAAGTAAGTGCTTTTGCTGCCAAGACATGATGACAAGGCGTGCGATATTATTTTGGAATTTGTTATAGCGAGAAAATAGACCCATGTAATCGCGATTCAATTGTTGTAATAATTCGAAACGTGTGCCAAACACACACATACACATATGAATTATAATTACATCAGTTTCCATTATTTTTAGTTTATACTGAAAATGATTCATCTTGCGAAATCACCGTGCGCATTTTGATTTGTGTCTGATCAAATTCTGTTGTTTTTGTTTTGCCGCAAGTACTTTCGCCGTATTTGTTTGGCAATCGAGAGAAAGACTTGGCGAGTATGTGTGTGTGTACGCGTTGTTATAATAAAGCAGTTTCGAATGTAAACATTCAAAGACGATTGTAAACAATGGATTGGCCGTCATTTTGGCTGCTGCTGACGAGACAAAATATCAATTTGTGTTTGTTTTAATGACAATCAGACACAACGTGATTCACGATCGGCACCACAATATCAATATTGTCGTCTTAACATTTGTTTAATTAATGGAAATTGGCATGGTAAATGTGCATGATTTTCTTTCGTGGAAAGAAGTTTTCTCGTTATTTTCAAACGTATTCGATTACATTATGTGTATGCGTGATTTGTTGGCTCGGTTTATCGATGATTCGATCATAAACGAAATTTTTTACATAAACAAAGTGATGCGATAAATCGTTCGTTTCGTCGAATGTCAACTTCAAAACAGATAGACAGATGCTTTGCGCATATATAAACCATTGGATTAATTACGATTTATTCACAATTCGTAAATAAACAAGTATGCTTAGGTCAGCGATCGAAATGATAACCGATTCAATTTATGCATAATAAAGTGTGTAGATGAGCAGAAAACAACACAATCAGATCATTGATGCACTCACAGATCCATTGCACTCCATTTCATTCCGGCACTGGAAATCAACCGTTCGTAATTTGTTCAGTTTCGAATTTCCTTTTACTGATGTGCATCGCTGACTCTTGTTTTTTTTTCGTCTTTCTCCCTTTTTCCAAGCGTCTTTGTCTCTTTTTCACTCTATTGATTCGTTCGAGAGTTGCTTTTTTTTTGTATTGCATTGTGTGTAATTTGTGTTTGATCCTACCAAGAATCACGTCAATGTATCCACAGCAAGATGCATTGTTCTATGCAGGTCGTTCCTGTTATAGTCTAACTGAAATTTATGTAATTAATCATCCATAACTACATAATACACCGACTATGATGCGCACAGCATCTTTATCTCACTCTTGTTGCTTTTTCGTTTTTTTTTTTGTCAATTCCATCGAACAAAAAACCATTCTTCGATTTTGTTTTGTGTCCGGAGACGGAGAATGCATCGGAGTGAGAAAGATGGAATAGAAACGATAGAAATTACAAAGAAAGAGTATATATCCACTAACAAATGGTCATTATTTTTATCGGGTTCGAGAACGCAAGGAATATACACTGAAAATTCTTTTAATTATCAACAAAAAAAAACACACACACATACACACATGGAAGAAATATGAAGAAACATAGAAAACGTGTATGTGCCCTAAAGAACTTTGAAGAAAAAATTTATATGCACGAACGAAACGAGAAGCAAGAAAAAAAATGATTTTCAATTTGAAATACCAGCAGCAATACAACAATGAATCGACGAAGACGAGAGATACATTGTATCATTGCATTACGATTTCATGGTTTTTCTTCCTTTTAATAAAAGAGCTCTATTTTTCCATCGATTTGATTTTTTTTTACTGTGCATATATACCTGTTGTTGGTGGATTCCTTTTTTATGGGCATATCATCGAACACCGAGTTGCGAGAGAGAGTCGACGAGAGAGAGAGAAAAAAAAAGCATACCGATGAAAATCATAAAATTTGTACAATGCGCTGCATATTATAACCTGCAATATCACATATTATTTACAATGTTACGCGAGTGATCGAAACACGGGGTTTGTAATTACGATTGGCCATACAATCATAGAGAGAGAGAGAAAAACAAGCGAAACGCGCGCACATAAAACAAAAGTTTAAATATCAATTGGAATTCGTGAATGTTCAGAAAAATAATACGGCGAAAAAAAACACGTCGAATTAATTTCAAGACATAATTCCCGAAGAAGGTGGAGGACGACGATGAAGAAGAGGGAAAAAAATTCGGTATTGGACCGTTTGAATACTTGATGCATTCATTTTAATGAGATGCTGATGATGGTGCATGTTATTTTTGTGATAAGAAGCGCTTTTTAATTTGCTCCTTCTAACTAGAAAAATTTAATTACACACACGCGCATCTCGTTTTTTTTTTTTGCGCGTAAATCAATCATTCAATTTGATTTTTAACCATCGAGTGAAATGAATTGCTGGCATATTTAATGACCACAAATTAAAGATTGAGAGACACGAAGAGAGAGAGGGAATTTATTGGAAAAAACGAAGGAACTCATTAGCTGCATTTTTCATGTTTTCAAACGCATAATGTTTGCTTTGCATTTCACATGAAAGAGAAAGAAAAAGCATTTTGTGTGCTTCAATCGATTAATAGTTGTGTTTTCGATCCTTTGGATTGTACTAATTAGCTGAATGCAACGTCTATTTCTTCTTCTTTTTCTCTTAGTTGTTTTTTTTTTCACGGTTCACAGTGATGAACTCTGTGAAGTGTGGGACTAGATGCTAGAAGGAAAAACGCATTGGAAATGACCACATGCAACAAAGAGGTGAAAACCACAGGGAAAAAAACCCATCGACTAATTTTACATCAATCTTGTCGTTGTTGTTTTTTTTATATGCTCTCTGGCATTCGATCTCTCGTTTTGGTTTTTCGTTTATTATACAGTTCCACACACGTACATTCAATTCTAATCGACGGTGGCCATCGAGTGTTCAAGACAGAGAGACGAGTGTGATGCATTGAACTTTGTAATAAGTCCAAGTGAAGAATAAACGAAAAAAAAAATCGTCGACACGTTAATGCTATTCTAGATTACTCACAGGCCAAACCATATCCATCAAGCGAGTGGCATTACGTGAATCACTTACATGCTATAATCATATCTCGAATGGAAACACGATATAAAGTATTGTGGTGTATGTGTGTGTGTGCGGCCATATCGATCGAATATGGCCAAAGACGAAGAAGATAGAACTGATGTGCGGTTGATCGAAACCAACAAAAAAGCATATATATATAATTGTATAGATTGATCAGAGAGGTCTAGGAGTTTGCGGTTCAGGAAATATTATGATATTCGATCCAATAATTTCTATTTCTTATTCTGAAACGATGCAAAAACCGAATACACCGATCGATTCAATTTATTCTCGTGTCAGCGACCAATTTAATATTAAACATACACACACAGAAGGAGAGACCAAGAGAGTGAGCTGCCGAGTGAGTAAGCCTAGAATAGTATTTCAATCATTTCAGCGGTGGCAATAAATTACATATTAAAACAACGACAACAGCATCAGCATCAAAAATGAAATCAAGTCCATTGCTACGTGAAATGCCACCAAATCAGCAAGTACAGCAGCACAAATCGCTCAACGTGTAGAT